ACCTCCTACCCTCCCGAAACATTTTACCGTCGTCAGTAGGCCAAGACACGGTTACCATATCCTGCAGGACATAACAATGTATTGGTATACCAATATACGCATATATGCATAAACTCGAGATCGAAATCTCGTCGCTAACATATTATAATGCATCAGGCGATAGGTATTACCTATTTGCGAATATACTCGATTCGGAATATTTCGCGATTGACTTAAATTTTACCTATGCGTATATAATTTGGCTCTCGTCGAATTAAATAACGCGCGTCGTTCCGATTATCTCGAGGTTTTTTGATCGGAAGAGGAGGGGTTACAATAATTTTTTTTCTTCTATCGTCGTGGCGGGTGTTTGACGGCAGTATTACCGCGGTCACGGCGCGGCGAACGTCTTTTTCAGCTTTTTTTTTTCCCACCGACGTGCAATTATATATACGCATATACATTACACACAGAATACGCTTATCTGCAATTCTCGGCAATTTCCGATCGCGCCTGCGCGGGAGCTCGTCGGCCGTCCGTCCGTCTGTCCGTCGCTGTACGGGACGACACGCGAGCGCCGCGGCCGCCGGGACACCGCTAGACGGCGCCCGGTCCCCCGCCGTACTGAACAACGACGCTCGCCGCTCTGCATCGCGCCGAGGAGCAGCGCACGCCGGCGACGTCGCTTCTCCGCTCGATCTCTCGATCAATCCGCTGGGTCGCCGCCGCCGCCGCCGCCGTCGTATATAACCGCGTATCGCGGGCCGCCGGCGGAGCCCTCAGTAGCACGTTAACCGTTGCCGTCGCTGCCGCCGTCGCAGCAGCAGCAGCAGCAGTAGCGCCGCGCCGTGCCACCACGTCGTTATTACGCCGCCGCTCCGCCCGCACACGGTACGTCACGTCTTCGTGCATCTTTGTGCATATTAATAATGTTGTTATTACTAATTATTATAATGTAGTTAACAGAGGCGGTCCGAGTGTAACTTTTCTTTTTCGACCGATTTGAGACCACGCTCAACTTATACATACTAGCCCCGCCAACGAGATCATGAATATATAATAATATAATATTTATGTAATTTATATGATAAAATTCTGAATGCAATTTTTAAATTCAAACTCACTACGAGTGAAAATTTAACAGCCGTCCGTCGACACGATTTCTAGGAGGTTCCCACTATAAGTACTTGGTACTTATACTAATTTCTAGAAATATACGTGCAGGTTTTTTGTATTCCGAATCTATAATTTGCAATACGGGTCTCGTTCGATTTAAATGGTATAACCGTCACGGTCGTACCTATACGTACAACGTAGGTATTATCTTTTATGGCGGTACTCAAAAGTTTGTGCTTTGAAAATCGCATTAAATATAATATGCCCCGACGACGATGACGACCTCTCCCATCACGCGTATATTTATGTATATGCGAACCATCAAAAGTATAATATTATGTTCGATCCGCCTCTGTTATTATAATACTTTGTATACCATATTCCATAATAATAATATATTGTTACACTTTATGTTTGTATATCTTATATACTAACGATTTTACCCGGCCTAATCTGACGCAACTTTCTCGATCTCTGACGCCGCCACCACCGCCGCAGCCGACACATGCTTTGTATAGGTACAGATATAGTTCCTCTAATCTACATAATATACGCATGTGACCTACGATTTTTCATAAAATATTATTATTTTTATCTCGCTCTTTATTATTATACCCGTAATGGATATTATAACTCGATGATGTATTTTCTCGCCGATCTCCGCGCGCGTACACCTACTGCAGGTATGAAATTTCCGAATTTTGATCGTGATCTATTCTTGTTCCGTTCGAGTATAGATATGGTACTCATAATATTATTACCTATATTATACGCGTTGCTTGAGGATATAATATATTACACTATTATATTGCACGATTATGCGAAAACCACGTCTATACAATGTAATATGTAGGTATCTAGGTATATATAGTGTGTATAGATAAACGTATGTACATTGATCGAGTGTTAAATGCATTATGTACGATAATAATAAAAATAATAATAATAATAATAATCGATGTGTTTTTGAAGTCATGAAAGTACCTACTTACGTGGAAAAAAGTTAAAATTTTTAAAATAAACAATACGCGTGATATACATTTGAATATTATTAACATTTTAAGTTAATGAATTTTGAATCTATCTCAGTGTAAGTACATATTACTTGTACCATTGATTAAATATATTTAATCAATGCTTGTACATATTATATAACATGCATACCTATGCTTTGAACATCGTATCCGTCCGGAGGGATATTTACATTTTATGATACAAACATAAATGGGGAATTGTACGGTAGAGTCTTACGTAATCTCCATTATTTTTGTATCAAAGTAAAGTTATAGTGCCGCTGTTTAATTTAATTTAAACTCCTGTTTGATTAAAACGAATAAGTATAATAGGTATAATCCGTATCCTGCGTACTCCTGCGTAGGTAGGTAAAATTTTTATGAAACACTAATAAACGTATATTTTATTACAGACCGTTCATTTAACTAATATAAACACCTGTGCAAATTAACTTTTATGATTTTCTGAAGGGAACTTATTTTAGCCTGACTTAATTGCGGTTTACATTTGTTTTAATAATTAAATATTTTTACTATTTATATTATATTACGATTTACCATCATTTATGGTACCTACCTACGTATAATTTAAAATGATGTACATATCTTTTCTATTTTGCAGTCTAATTATTTAAGTTTTTATACTTTTAATCTTTGGAATAGCAATGCTCATTTTATTATAAATCATATATTTTTTTTAATATATCAGTAAGTATGTACCTATATAAGTATCGAATATCGAACCGATATAGTTTTTATTTCATTCATAAACACTTAAAGTTTATAGATAACAGTGATAAAAGTTGCATAATATAACCCGAAAAATAGTATTTCCATACTTCGGCCAACTATATAAACATTAAATACCTACATATAAATAATTAAAACTAATAACTATATAATATCTTAAAGGTATTTATATTTATCGGTTCAATACCTAACAATATGCCAGTATCGGAAAAATATTTCAAACGAGAAATTAAAATTATAGTAAAAACCTAACTTTATGAGTTATGACTATGATAAAAATTGTGTTGGGAAAATATAGTAGGTGTATACCGACATACCGTGTATATCGTTATCTGTAGTAGTTATTACTTTAAATTATGTAGGTACAAATGTTTTTTTTTCCTTCAAAACCATAAAACTGTAAATACAACCACGATAATGCAGTGTATCGTGTCGAAAAAAAAAACCGCCTCGTATATTATATTCTGTGTGTACACGATATACATTATAACATTATACGATAACGAAAAAACAATACGTACTAAGCGTATAATAGGTTTATAGAGGACGCGCGTGAACAATAAGTCGCGACTTATATAATGTAATGGTGTGTGTATAGTGTATTATGTAGGTATATCGTATATACATATGTATTATTGGTATAGTTTTCACGTGCCGCGTATATTGTACTTTATTCGAAAATAATAACTTAACAAACGAGATTCGTGCATGTTTATAATAGCGTTTGTATCCATTTCTATCTCTGTCTCTGTCTATTTATGGAGTATAATATTATAAACGTACGTAGTCGCGAAACTTCGTCATATTATTGACAACGGCTATAGGAAAATAATCTATAATAATATAATACCCTTATATGTATACCACATCTGCAGAGAGAACTTTTTAAACGTTTTTAATTTCTGTTTGTTGTGTTTCTTATATACTTTTTCATGTATACGAATTAAGTGTGATATGCCGAAGGTAGGATGAAAGAAAGGAAGGTTTTGGTTTTGGTGGAGAGATGATGGGTAGCTTTATAAAATAATAATAATATTATTACTATTAGGAGTTAGTCGTACCTACACATTTTATAGAGATACGAGGTTCGTAAAAATTTAAGACTTAGAGGCGGATTGGACACACCCACAAACACACACACACACACACACACACACACACACACACACACACACACACACACACATCACCATACTTTAAGTCACGAAATTATTATTATTACCTATAGGTATATACGTAAAACGATTGATTGCACGGTGGTTCAAACATATTCGGTGCATTTATAATGTACATTATATATAGTGACTTAAATTCGTGAAACGTGAATAAATATAAGTTACTCAAGTCATATAGTTTCGTTTCTCATTCGCCCTTTAAAGGCATGTTTTATCTCTTCCCTACTAAGTTTGTTAGTGTATGTGTAATAATATAATATACTTAAAGAAGTATAATACGATACGTGTATCTTAGCTGTGCGGTGGCGTTGAACAAAATTCGAGAGTAGGTACATAAGGTACATTATATTCATACAATACAAATACGTGCGTAAAATATCAACCTTACTACAACCACTCACTCCCACCCTCCGCCCACCACCGATCACCAAATGCAGTTCACCGCGTCGGGATCGAGAAAGTTTTCGCCGTAATTGCGTCTGTGAAACGGTATACGAGTGTGTGCGCGTGTGTTTTTTTATAACAATATGCGTTTTTAGGACGTGGAAACGGAGACAAGTAGATGACCATACATACCACATATATTATACACATATTATAATACAACCAGGAAAATGGATCCGACAGAACAATTAGACTTCGCAATCACTTCTCCACGCTCCTCGGCAATTGGCAGACGACGACGACGACGAACGACTTAGACGCCTCAAATACTAATAAGCTTGGACGGCGACGACAAAATATAAGTTCAACGAGGTGTTATTTGATTTATAAGAAATTTTTTTTCGTAAAACTTGTGCTCAATTTTTTGTTTGACTCGAAATACGTCTGCCGTATAATTTATAGTAATAATAATAATTAATAAGTGAACAAATCGAAATCTTAGAAACCGCGACGAAAATGCAAATTAGACGCGGTCGGCCGGTAAGGCGTGAGGGCGGCGACGGCCTCGCGTCATGATGAGCTGATGGATGACGACGGACCGGCAGCGGTGGACGACGCGGCGGCGGCGCTCGAGCAGCAGTTGGAGCAGCAGCAGCGTGAAGAGGCGGAGAGGAAGCGGCTGGAGGAGCTCCGAGAGCGGGTGCTATTCTACCTGACCACGTTCTTCATACTGCTGGGCATCGTCAGCTTGTTCGTGTTTCTGTTCCTGGTGCCGTTCCTCATCGAGCCGGCCATCACGACTTTATTAATGGAGTTCGACGAGACGCCGACCACGTGCGTGACCGCCTACTCACAAATCCGCGAGGGTGCATCCAACTGCTCGTTGCCGGGTGGTTGGGCGTCTTGCCGGGAGGGCTGCACCCGAGAGATATATGAGTGCGCGCAGATATTTGTCAACTATACCGTACCTGAGGATCGGGCGGGAGACTTAAATGCCCGGCACCGGCGGTCGCTGCTCGTCCGCGGCTACCGGCCCATCGAACCCGAGCCGGCTGCTGGGTGGGCGTATTCCCTGGCCCGCATATACCCCAATGTCAAGGGGTGCGGTTACCCGCCGCACCTGAACTGCACCGAGTTCCGGAACCGGTATTTCGAGGTGGGTGCCAGCTACCCGTGCTACTACAGCCGCGTCGAACCGTGGGTGGTCATCACCGAACTGGACCTAGCCAAGAGCACTAGACAGCTGGTGTACTCGATGGTTTTCCCCATTCCGTGTTTCGTCGTGTCCGTCGTGTACGTAGCGCTCGCGTATTTCTGCGTGTATGCAGGCCGGCACCGCAAGCCCAAGGTCAAGCGCCGCGTCGTCCGACGGATGGTTGGCGGCGGCGGCGCCGTGACCGGAAGCGGTGCGGGCTACGGTCCTGGTGGTTCCGCGTCACGGGGCAAGTCTGCAGGTTCGGAGGCTACGCCGCTAACCAACAACAGCGGCGCAGCTGCCGTGCTTTTTTCGCCCACCGGAACCGGGACGCCCGGCAGCGAACCGTTGTACCGCCGACGAGGTGACGAGAACGAAGACGACGATACGTCCGGAACGTACTACGGTGACCAGCTCAGGTCCACGCTGGCCGTGGACGACTCCGCCGCCGACTACGTGAATGCGCTCCGTCTGTCCGAACACACGCTCAGACAATCAGACTCTAACGAACCGTCCAGAGGCGAGTGGTCCGACGCCGACGGCGACTGCGACGATGACGATTGCGAAGCGAGCTTGTGCGATAGCAGCCTCGAACAGTCCAGAAAAACTGTCTCCGCTACCGCCTCTACCGCACCGTTTCCAACCAATTCCACCGGGTATGGTCCTTTATACTTTTGTTTTTCATTTTAATTTATTAGTTTCCCCGTATCGTTTTTGTGTTTCTCGTGGTTTTCGCTGATTTATGTCCCATGTCGTTCTTATTCCGACGTTGGTTTTTATCGCTCTGACGAATAATAAGATATTATACTTAAGTATATTTAGGCTTGTTAATTCCTTTTAAGTCCATATTCAGTAGGACAACTATCGTATATATTATAGGTATTAAAAAATTGTATTTTACTACAGCGATTACAGTTTAAATTGAAAACGTGTTGAAAAATAACGAGTTCTGTGATGTTTTATTAGCACTTCCTGGTATCTGTCACTTTTCTAATTACGTAGATCGATAGCTCGTGAAAAGAGTATTACGACTAAACTCTGAATTAAAACGCATTGACACGTGTATTGCTAAATGTTACAGGCTTACAGCGTCTGGCTGTTCCTTATGCGTTCCTTAATCCTAGCAGCTTATCTTACACGTATTTTTCTCCATCTGCGTCACTTTTCCGTTCGCCTGTTTGGGGTTCGTCGTCTCTTTAAAGTTTAAACTGTTTGTGAAAACTCCCCACCAAATTTAACTTAACCTTGGGCCCGAGATTTAACCATTCATAAAGCCCATAAAAATAAATAGGTGCGTACCTATAACAACTATAGTATTAGTGCGGAGTTAATATTGCAAAGGGCAGACTCTATTTGTTTGTTATGAGTTATGATGGTATGTTTTTTATTAACAGAAAGAAGTTCTCTAAACTTTTTCTTGGGGAAAAAAACCCAAGCCTTATCTCATTTGTACAATGTACAATATCTTAAATTTAATTAATATTGTGAATTAGGTAGCTTAATATTATATCTGGTTGATTTCGTTTTCTTTCGTTTTAAAACTAGTTGACTGCCTTGAGTATTATACGTGGTACACGTAAAGCTTTCCATATTATTACCCTTAATATTTTACTTATATTGCCAATTTTTTCTTGAGTATCATATATTACTCAGCTCGGGTTCATAAAACTACGTATGATACTCAAGGCGTTCGTGGCACCACCCTTATTTTGTGAAATGTTATGTCTGCAAAAAATCCTCTGCTAAATCATTATCATCTAATTTGTAATAGGTACCTATGTGTTTTTATTCTTACTTTAAATCATTAAGACTTATTTTATATACATTGTTTGTATAAAAAAAATAGATACAGTAAATCGTAAATAACATCGATATATAACAAAATGTGTAAGACACTTGAAACACTTACAATGGTTTAACAATTAGAATTTGAATTATCATTAAAATTTGATTTTTATGTAAAATAATGAATGCGTGAAACGGCTGTTAAGTTTATTATATTATAATTAAATAATACATGTAGGTACATAAAATGTGTAATATATTGCAGGTTATTACATATAATATATGCATTGTATACAATGTGTACCTACTACATTATTATAATATATTTAGGGCTTTATTTCTTATAAGATTGTAACAAGTGTACTAGTAGCGATATGATACTTTTTATCCGGCTATTTTGGGGAGAATTCTAAACCAGTTATAATGACGTATAATCGAATATCGTACTAATAATAATACTTATTGCTCTCGAGTGAATTGTTATTACCTACTTAATAACAGTAATTGTATATGGCTATATACTTTTAATTCAACTACGATTATTATTATTATAGTATACAGTTTCCCGTATATCATATTATTTGATTGTGTTGATCCAATGTTGAGTATAATATTGTTAATTTGCTAATACAATTTTGCACACAATTACGGAAACGTTTATAGCAGTAATGTGGATAATAATAATCAAAGGTTCGCATTACAATATTACCTATATAATACTATAATAGGTACTATAATAATATAGCTTAAAAATGCGAGTTCCCGTCATTGTTCAAGTTTGAATACAGCTGCATAGACGTAATACATGTTTGTAAATTATCGATCATCGTGATGTAGTATAGCGTAGTATAGTGTAGCTATAATTTATTATAAATGTATAACGTAATTAATGCAATGTGTGACGGTGTGTCGTTTTCGCGGCTCCCGCTGAAATCTTGGCGAAACGAATTACATACACTGCTGTGACGCAACAATATAATATATAGTATAATTCACCAAGCATACTCATCCCAAATTTTATGTGTCCAAAAGACTAGTAAGCCAGGAAAAAGTACGAGGCTTGGGATTTATGGATTTCATTTTTATAAACAGATTTTAACGTTTCATCTATAGTAGTAGTCTTTTAGGTTTTGGTCGAAGCAATTTTAGATATTCAAATTAATTATTCAAATATTCAAATAATTAAAAAACTCATGAATTCCTTTATTTAAAGACTTAATACATTTATTAAGTACGTGTTCAATTTTTCATATTTCAAAAATCGCCTTGATCGAAACTTAGAAGACTAGAATACAAATTCAAATCTCTTTTCTATAGGTATAAAAATCCATCAAACACGAGCTTCACACTTTTGTCTGGCATTTCGGTTGTTTTACATGTTTTTTTTTTATACCTGCATCAGTCCCTTTATTAAATTTATTCAAATTTTTATTTTTGGAATATTTAGACAATATATTACAATAAGACTATATTATTTTACCATTAAGAAGTGTCCTGTAGCGATACAGACTTCTGTTTTTCAAATGATGCAAGCACCACATTAAAATGCGAATTTTGGTATATGCTGTACACATGGTGGTACGAAGGGCTCGTATATATAGCAATATATTATCGGGTAGGCAGTCCACTCATGGTAGGTTTCGGACTCCTTGAGGTGCGTAGATAAGTGTATATTTTATATATACACAAGATAGTTGTCCCCTGTGCATTTCGTTGCCCGTAAAAAAATACCACCACTTATATGATTCAAACTTTATGTTAAATTCATTACTGAATACCTGGTGTTGTGATGTTCGAAACTTAAAAAAAGACTTAAGTTTAACTTTGATTTTTAACACATTAATCATAACATTGCACGTTTGTTTGTACTTATGAATGGGTTTATTTTTGTTAAGTGTAAACGTCAACTTAAAGATCACGTAATAATATTCTTTTTTTTAAACATAAATAACTTTATTATGGCTTTAATATAAAAGCTATATAGCTGTATCGTGTCCCTGAATTTGTTTTAAGTTTATTAATAACTGATGTTTTTGTAGTACATTGTTTTAAATTATATCCAACCATTATAATATATTGAAATAAACCGTTTCCCATTAATTAATGCCTGTCGATTTATCTCATCTTAATCTCCATTAATGTTTTTTAACACAGTCATTATGATGGTTTTGACCAAATATAAAATATAAAATTATATTCAATCATAATAACTATTACATTTTTTGTAACTAATAGCAACTCTATAATAAACAAAAATATATTTTTTGGTTGTGAGCTAAATAAATAATAAACAAAAATATATTTTTTGGTTGTGAGCTAAATAAATAATATCAAATTAAAAACAATAATTGTTAAGGGCCACATCTCGAGATAAAATATAGCCTATAAATCCTTGAGACAGCTTTCTGATGGTATTTTTTTTTTAAATCGGTTAAGTAGTTCCAGAGGCTACCCCGAACAAACAAACTATTTTTCTTCTTTTTAATATTTAGTATAGATAAATATTAGATATACCAACAAAAATATAAAATAGATGTAATCCGCGGATTGTATTTACTTGACCCTTTTTTTTTTTATAAATCATAAATATTTATAGTTAGATACTAAAATTACTAAAATTTTCAAAATATTACAAACTTAGTATCGTGGATTTATTTATCCTCAATACACAAAGTTAAATGGTAACTGAAAAATTACTCTTTAGAATTTCGATTTTGATACGGCAATTTGTTCAGGTAAAAATTATCCGTTAAATCATTTACTGCAGAAAAGCGGGAAATTCTCATTTGAAAAACACAAGTTTGTGTAGCACACTCCTTATTAAGGAGTACCGAAAATCAGATTTTGAATTACTGCATTATCGACGGAGAAAAAGGGGGTGAGCATGCTCAACTCTTCAGCCTGTATGTATATTAATACACTCGTTACAACAACACCGTTGTACATGTTGTGTGAAAATGTTTTACGTGCCTCGTAAGTTTTCTGCTAATAAGTTAGAAAAGTGTCATCCCTTTACAAATATTACTATATTATGTATATTGTACATAATCTCGTGGTGATACTTTGTGTAGGTATACGTGTATAAAGGTATACGCTGTGAGAACGATTCAAAGGAATTGTCGGGGCATGGGCGGCCCGTTGTCGCGTACCAAAGTTTGAAATTATCAACGCGATAATTAGAGAAACGCTGTAGGGGAGGTATACCGCTGTAGACTTTTATAGTACCTATAGTTTAATTGCACTCCGGCCAGCCGTTTCGTTGATAATAATCGAGAAGATTATTTAACGAGCCGTGTCGCAGTTTAATTATTAATTTATAAATATATTAAACGCATGTATATATGTTATATGTACATCGTATTTTATCGACGTGACGCTGTCATATACACGTTTCCACCTTATATTATTTTTTTTCTCTCGCCGACCCTCCAAACAATTCCATACTGCGGTTTAATGCAAACGTGTACTGCAGTCGTGTGCTTGATGTGTCGTTTTATATCCTGTCTATTCATCTACGTCTTTTTTTCAAAATATATATTTTTAAAAATCGTGTACAACTATATATATAGATTGCGATTTCGCCAAAACACACTTACATCGTTTCATTATATATATATTTATAGTAATCCGCTTTTCTATAAGGAATAATGATCAATTAGTATTACGTAGTATTTCGATTTACTATACTCGCGGGTAGCGGGGTGCGTATGCGTTTGTTTTCGTTATTACATATTATTATTAAATTGATGTGTATATTACGCGATTGATATATAATATAGAATATAGAATAGAATATGATGTACAAGCACGTCGTTTATAAACGAGATATAATCTGCAGTTTACTCGACTGTGCGTCTGTGCGTAGGGGTAG